GCTTGTCAGGCACAATTATTGTATATAGGCTGTATATTTGCTGCAACAATGGTTTTCTTTTCTTCTGAGGATTTCTCCTGTAATTCCTGTGATTTTACACTTAATAATGTCAATCATTGTGGGTCTGGCAGTGGAGCTCTTCCCTGGATCATTGTTGCTGTTTCACTCAGTGTAAATATTTTCTGTGTGATCTACATATGGCACCTTTGGTAAGATACGCCATGTCTATTTTATGTTTTCCAGGCTCAATTACTTTATATGGTCTGTAAATTTGCAACCACAATGTTTTTTTTTTTTTTCTTTTCTTCAAAGGAACTCAAGAAAGAAGGTGAAACCCAGTGAAGATGATCGAACTTACATATCTCTGCAAAAACCTGATACATCAGAGTATGATGTTATTGTCCAGCGACCACACTGACACATCTTCTTGGATCTCTGTCACCTGGATGTTACCTGCTGGATTTTTGTCAAATTTACTGTTTAAGACAAGCGAGAAAAGATGCCGTATATTTCCCAGGGAAGAGAAGTAATTTAATCTAAAATGATTAAATATACAGATGAATAGACAGAATAATTATCTGTGGATAATAATACAATATATCACAAATACTAACAGAATGATATTCTGTTATTTGTAATTATTTTTGTCCTTTCCCCTTCTGGGTTTAATAATTGAAGGTGAATATATTGGGGTGTTTTTGTCTTTGTATAATGTCTTTTTTATGTTTATTATCTACCCTTTTATTGTCATACAGATTTGCTGAAACAAAGTTTCTTCCTTAAGTATAACTAAACCTTGTTTATGTTTATCCTTAACCTTATTATTAGTTACATTTCAATCTTTGCAGTTTCCAAACTTTTATTTTTGTTTTTCTTTCATGCGGGCATGGTGTATGTGCATTAGGAAATTGTTTTGCTAACATGATAAGTATGGATAAAAGATTATGCAGCTGTTGCAGTTCTACTTTAATCTGTCAAAAACATGTTCACAATAAATAAGTCTCGCTGGAGATCGGCACCAGCATCCCTCCCACCCCACTAGGGACAAGGCTGTAAAGAAAATGGATGGATGGATGGATGACTCCATTGGGAACTGGATGCAGCCCTATTCCTCCTGTGCTGCTCCCTGAGGCCTACAGCAGAGCAGATTGGCTCACCAATTGTCAGCTCCACCAATCCCTGATGAGGCCTCTCTTTTTAAAGCCACCATCTCCTGAGAGAAGGTGGACTTTATTCCTTGTTTAGACAGCTTGCCACTTTGCTGGTGTTTGACTGCTCTAAATAGCATTATTTGTCTGTGAGCTTTTGTAAACTGTGTTGATAGCTTTGTCTCTCTGGGGGTTTTGTATGTAAACTACGAGATATTTGTCGTTTGTTTTTGTTTAATTTTTGCTTTTTAGTCCAATGTTGTTAAGATCTTTGGTTTACAACTCTGATTATTTTGTGAATTTTGTTTTATTTACGTTTGGTTATAAGACCCGAACTTGATTATTGTTAATTTCCACCTTTTTATTTTGTTAAACCCAAACAATAAATCCTAAACTGTTAAACCCTTAACATCTGGGTTTCTTTAATGTTACCTCTCCTTCCCCCTGGCTGAGCTGGGTTGTAACAATGTAGGTGAATTCATACCAATCAAAGAAAAAAAAAACATCATGATCCCGAAATATAACAAAATAGTTTTGATTTCAAACAAATTCTTTATTGATTCCATTTTAAATTTACAGCTTGCAAAGAAATTTCTTCTACTTTTCATCAATACATACAGAGAGAAGTTATCAGGGATAGTGATGCTATGTCTGCATGGCTTTCCAGAAAGCAAGGTCAACATTAAGATTATCCAAAAGCAAATAATTTTTCAGTTATTTAAGAAGTTTGGTATTATTATTATGCCATGAGTCTTTAGATAAATTAGCAAAGCAATTTTGTCATCAAATCTAAGGAATTAACTGACAGCATCTGTAATTGTTACAAATATTTCACACATAAACATTCTTGATCATGACTGTTATTTTTAATGAAGCTGATATTGGTACATAATTTAAACTGTTTTCATAATTCAAACAAATGAGTATATCTAAAACAAAGATTTTTCTTTATAAAATTATCAAGAGTTATTACATCTCCAAAACCATTTTTCTCTTTTGATACTATTGTGACTGAGAAAATGTTCCTTAAAAGAGTACAGTCCTGACTCCATCTTTGTAGGTTGAACAACTGAAGTACATTTGTAATTTGGGAAGTTGTGTCAGCAGCTTTTATTAGATATGTTTTACATATTTTACCATATTAACTGAGGAAGTAGAAGAGGAGGAGGTGTTAAGATGGGTCAGTTCAGAGTAAAACCACTCACAGAGATGAGGTCTAGTCTGAGTGCAGCACGAATATCAGAGTAGAATAGAAATAACCTTTAATGTCTTTTAGTTTGGTAATTGTGCTGTGCCAGCAGCAACAGGCAAGTTGAAATATGTAGATTCACACAAAGACAAAAATGCTAAAACAGAAAGTAAGAATAACAAATGACACAGCAAGAGCAAACTTACATCATATGTAAAGGAATGCCATACAATTTTCTAATATAGTATAAGCAGATTCAAAGAAATGTGCAGCTGTGTAGGATAATAAAAAAAATCCAAAAAGTGCATGCACATTTCTGCATAAAAAAACAACACACTATTTAGGAATGAATTCACATGGAAATCATGATGAACTAACCAAAGATGCAAACTTTTTCATACATAGGTTGCAACTACAACAATCTTTACCAGTACAAATATCCATATATGGCAGCCTGCAACTTTGACAGGTTTTAAACATGTAATAAAGCTCTGATCATAAAAATATGTTGATGCCTTGAGATACAATCTGTTATCAGACACTACACTCGTCTCTCCCGTGATCTTATGAAATCATTTCCTCTAAGCTGCTGATGAGCTGCTGCTCCACATGCTGCATGACAGATGCTTGCTGATATATATACTGTATGTTTAAAACTCAACAATTTATCTCTATTACACAAGGAAAACATCAGTCCCTAAACTTCGTTTACATACTTTTTCCTGAGGGGGGCAGCATTGTGAAAGACTGCTATGTCAACAATGGATTATCAGATGAAACCTAGAGGAAGTTGATGCTGTCACCCTCTCTACCTTAAACCTGCAGAAAGGTGGATGATGGTAATGTATGAATGTAACCCTTTCTTTAACCAGGTGTGTCTCATTGAGATTAAAAATCTATTTTTCAAGAGAGATCTGGCTAAGATCTGCAACTATGGTGCCATCAGAAAACTTATTCCAGCTTGTTTCCAGATTATTCAACAGTGCTTTGCACTACAGTCACTCATTCACATGCTGATGGTGGTAAGACACATTGTAGTCACAGCTTCCATCTGACAGTCTGATTGAAGTGAGGATGTAATATTCCAGTGCCAAAAGGCCCTCTGACCAGCAGCAGTCAATGTGCTGGTCAGAGGGCCACAATGTTTCAGTCATTGTACCCAAGGACACAATGACTGAGACAGACTGAGCGGGGGTCCTACCACAGGATGAACTACTGTATATTGGCTATACATTTGCATTTTTTCCCTTTCTTCAAAGGAACACAAGGAATAAAACAAAAAACTAGTGAAGATGATCAAACTCATATGTGTCTGCATATATGGATTCATTTATTTTTGCTCTAAATAAGAAGTTGAATTAAATGGTAGGCTTGAAGTGCAATAGTGACTGCAATTTAAAAGCATGAAAAATACTGTTGTCAAAGTTTTCCATATTCCATATTATCCAAAAATACTGCAAAACAACCTCTTAGTTAATGATTTATGATGATGAAATACAGAAAAATATATACAAACACATGCATTATCACAATTTATTAAATGTACAGATCATAAAGCTTGAGTCTCAGCCATTGGTTGAGGAGCTTTTTTTCATAAAAGTGCTCACAAACCAACTTCCCTATTCTTAATGTGGCCAAAAAAAGAAAAAAGGAAGAAATATGAAAGAGAAAAGAAGAAGGCAGTTTAGACGCCTGTGAAGAAAGTCACTGAAGACGAGTGGAAAGGTGGACAAAAAAAAGGTAAATAAAACTTTGATTTACGTAATGCGTTAGCTCTCATCAGACTGATGAACAAAAGAATTCAATGTTTATGTGTGTGGGTGGGTGTGGGAGAGTTAAAGAGAAAAATCAGTACTTTCTTCCTGAACAAGGTTAAAAATCATTTCAGCCCTGTAATGCCACAGAGGTGTGCAGTGTATAAATTCTCTGAATACTTACACATTTTAACTATTCACTGACATTTATTTGTCTTTACTGAAAAGATTTAAAGTCATAATTTTGCTAGCAACTTTATCTAAAATTTTCATAAAGTGCAGCAATAGTGAAATTAAATCCAGTAAAGAAATGTTGCATTGTATGTATGATGTTATGTCTGAACTCTGCTTCAGTTTCAGTATTTTTCTGAAACTCCTGGATAAAAGTTTCTTCCCTGTTTGGAATGGACTGAAGGTTTCAAGCTTCAAATCAGGATGTTTGTTTTCATCTGGTTAATCGTGTCTCTCCCTTCTAACAATGGTAATGTATGAACCTTCTCTTTTATGCACATGAATCAGTAATTTACACATGATTACAATGTATTTATTATGTGCAGATCACTCAAGGAAAAATTAATGGTTAATGTTTACAAACATTATTAATAGAATCGGATTTGTATAAACATTGACAAGAAACTATCACTACTATGTTTTTTACAGTTTCTGAGTTTAATTATTTTTCTCACTAACAGATGCATTGCAATGGACAAACCCCTGTCAAATGGATGGTTACTGTGTTACTTTCAATGAGGACGAAATAAGAGCAGAGGTTGGACTCTGTGCTGTGATACCATGCGCTTTCACATCTCTCTTTGCACCCAAACATATTATTTGGTATAAATGTGATACTGCCAGATGTTACTATCCTGAGATTATATTTCACTCTGACAAGAACAAGGACAACATTCAGCCTGGGTTCAAAGGTCGAGTGTCACTGGTGGAACCGGATGTTGCTCAGAAGAACTGCAGCATCATAATCAATGATCTCAAGGAATCTGATTCTGGAAGCTATGAGCTCCGAGTTGAGGGAAAAGCACCAGAAAAAGCATTTTCATATAAGGAAAAAACAACACTATCAGTAACAGGTAGGGAAACAACAAAAACTTCAGTATTATGTCACATCATATTTCTAAACATGATAAAAAAAAATCTTTTTACTATTTTTATTTACCTCTGAGATCAGATTGTAAAAGCTTATTTTTGACAAAAGTCAATTTTTCATTTTGTTTTTCCAAGTTTAAGACATCATCTAGTTTTTCAATCTGCCTCATCAAATTTAAGATAATTAAACTCACTGGTTTTGTGAGTTTTCATTCAATGAACTGTTTCCATCAGGTCTGAACCAAAAGCCCTCAGTGATGATTCCTCCACTGACTGAGGGACAGCTGGTCACTCTGACCTGCACTGCTCCTGGTCTCTGCTCTGGGTCTCCTCCTAACATCACCTGGATGTGGAGAGGAAAAGGAGAGAACGACTCTTTCATCAAAGGAAACATCACTGCTTTAAAAACAGAGAATCTGACCGCTTTCACACAGAGACACGTCTCAACTCTGACCTTTAACTCTTCAGCTGATCACCACAACACCAAAATAACCTGTAAGGTCAGCTTCACAGGCAACATAACTACAGAAGAGACTGTGACTCTGAATGTAACATGTGAGTACCTTATTGTCATATAAATCCCGCTGATTATGTTTTTAATTATAACTTGTTAACATTT